AAAATGATACGTTATGAGTTTTTTTCCTCACAACAAGTTTTTTGTATAAATGGTAAGTTTTTCACTATTTTATCTACTTGTGTAGCATTTATTTCAACCCTCAAGAATTTGTTGTTGCACTTAAATAACTTTTTCCATTAAAAATAACATCTTTGTATTTATTTTATAATTTTGTTTTTTTATAACGTTATATGGACAAAACGACATACATAGGCAACGGACATAATGACATACCTGTCATTTAGTCCATAAGAGCTTAGTCAAGGAACTTACCTTAATCTCNTTGATAAATGGCCAGCCACATCAAAGGCCGTATTCCTTAAATTAATTTAAAGCACCTAATTATTGTGTTTAGTTTTCTATTTATCAAATTTTTATTGTCATAAATATACTAGCTGTGTTAAATATCTGACACAGTTATTTTACAATTGAAATGATAATACAAGTAATAACTTAAGAATTATTATTGTTAAATATGATACTACATATTTTTCTAAGCAATTTAAAATTGCAACAGTAAGTTACTTACTCTCTAAAAATACTAAAGCAGTGCATATATTTTTACTTACATGTATTTTATTATTCATGTATTTGCAGAAAATGTTTAGAAAAATTATAATTAAAAATGACATGATCGAAATTTTTCATGAAAATGTTGAAAAGTGTAATGAGCATGGTTTAGAACCAATTCCACAAGTACTCAATGGAACTCACGCCCTGCTAGCATCAAGACAGAACATTGAATTCAGCATGAACGAAGAGGAAAAAGAAGAGGTCTTCATTTCAGAAGACATACTTTTTACGAAATTCAAGTTCATACAAATCAATTTAGTCAAAGTGAATTATGCTGTCGAAATTGCTAAAACGTGAGTATGTGTTTCCTATCACTTCCCGTAGAAAAGACTTCCCGTGTCTATCATCAAAATAGACACTTGTTTCTCATAGATTAAAGGGCCTAAAACCACAAAAATAGTTTTTCATAAAAAGTTATTTCAAGTAATGCTTTCTTTATGAAGATTGTCCTTGTGTTATATTAACTGTTTCTGTCAATTTAATTCAAAATATTACTTATTAATCATTTTCTTATTAAAATTGATGTACAAGAGTAGAATATATAATGGCTTACATGGAAATTACATTAAATCTTATATCTTTTAAGTAAAACTGTAGGGTATTTAAAATACAGGAATATTGATGTTATACTTCATTCAAATTTATACCTTTTTTAGAATTTTATGTTTAAAATAGATTTCAAATATTTTGACTAAAATATCTATTATATAAGTCACGTAATTTATTAAACATATATAGAAGTTTAATAGTATATATTTATATATAACAGGGTAAATCGAATTGCACAGAGTGGATTAACTGAGAAAATTCGTAGAGACATGAGTTATAAAAAACAAAGAAGAGACCTCTTTTACAATGATAATGCAATTGATACTAATGAAGATAAACCTCTGGAAATAGATGATGTTATGGGTCTACTGTATTTATTAGTTACAGGATATTTGATCTCTTCTGTAGTATTTCTTACAGAAATTGTAGTAAACAAGGTAAAAATGTCTACAAGAAGGAAATGAAGAGTGAGACCATTGAATATTGTTAATTAACATTTAATCATATTTGAAAATTTATGTAATAATGCTGTATTTGTTAAAGTAGTTTCCTGTTTTCATTAACTTTTTAATCATATTTCAGCTTATTCGACAACAATACGCATAAAATGCGATAAAACAGATTTACATCTATTTATAGCTGTAAATCTTTGATTGGTTTGGATGCAAATTATAAATTAAAAGCTATTAAAGCTACAGCCGGATGCTAAACATTGTATTCTTGATAACGCCTGTAAAAAATAAACAAATTGTTTTATTAAATATTTAAAAAGAATTGTAATTAACTTATGGTACATTATTATCGTGATGCAAGAGGAGTGCAGGTTTTTATCAGAAGTGGCAAACTTAAGGCACACTTGTCTATACGGGCATGTCAGGAAACATCATATAAGATTTCATGTTTAATTAATGCAATTTCGGTTTATGAACTCTTATGAACAAAGATGGTTGTCATAGAAATAATGCATTGTATCGACTTTAAACTGATTGAAATTCCACTTTATATGTATGAAAAATATACATTACTTTGCCATCTTTTACAGTATTATTCACAGTAGCATATTATGCATCTCTGTAAAACTAGTCTTTAACAAATATTACTATAATTATTGAAGATTTCATGTGCTATTTATATGTATAAAGCATTTCAAGTTCCAAATGTTGTAACTCTTTATTAATGTGTACCTAAAATCCTAAATATTCAATTGAAAATACAGTCAAACCTTTAAATAATGGGTACGGAGTTATGGCACACCAATGATCAATCGATTCTCTTCGTAACCCCTGGAAGTTTTACGTCGTGGGTTCGTGTCTCGCTGCGACAGGCTGGCCACGTGGAGTTTTCCGGGTTTCCTCTACATCTATAACGCCTGAATAGGGGCCAGTTACCCTTAAAAGACCTTCCGGAAGGCATTATTTCCCTCGAATAAAGAAATATATATAATTACTAACTATGTCACATTGCACGTAACAAATTACCATGGGGTATTATAGTTTAGTGGCTGTCGCCCAAGAAAAAAGACGTACAGTACCTGTACAGGTGCAGTCCAGTACTGACTTGAGGTAAAGTGCTTGTATTTTAAATTAAAAAAATATACATTAAGAATGTTATTAAAAATTGCAGTCTAGCGTATTAAAATAAATGATTATAATATCTAATTAAATAATTTAGATTGAACCGGAAGAAAATTATCGGCGATAATTATATCTTAAACTTATATATACTGGAAAAAGAAATTGAACCGGAGGTCCATGTAGCGTATCTGGTTACGCATTCGCGAGATAAGAGAACGTTTCGGGTTCGAGTACCGCTTCGAATCGATTCTTTTTCTTCCAGTTTAATCTGAATTATTTAATTAATTTTAATAACGCTTACCTCTGATGTCACATTCGTTTGTAATTCAAAATTAATATTTTCAAATTGCAGCCTGATTATTTTCGGCAGTTGCGGATGTCTGTAAACTTAATTACAGTAAAAAAATAATCTTATAAGAACATTTGTAGCTTGAAAAATATATGTTCCTATGCCTTCGGGGCAACAAGAACTTGTTATTACTCTAATTACACCTATGACAAAACACTGAATTATTTCTCTTTTTAATGAAAATTGTTTGTTTATGAGAAAACAATACATAACTAGCAATTATTTATTGTGACATCGTTACAATATCGAGTTGCAATTTTTAATCATATTTTTAATTAATTTTATTTAAAATATATGCTCTCTACATCAAATTGGTACTACTGTGGCTTGCCCACATACATCACGCTTCTCCTTTAACAATAGATTCGTGGAGGTGATCTATCTAAGCCCTTTGAGGAATAAATGTGAATTGAAATAACGTGATTTTCGGTTTGGACCAGAAGTTTATATATACTTACTCGGGGCCACACACTCTGTATCTTTCCATACTTGTTTTTCCGATCATGTATCGAACTCCATTGTCGAGATTAAGGAAAGGCAGAAGGACGCTAGTGAACATTTATAAGTCTACAATTTTTTGAAGTTGCAGGCCAACAATATTTTATATTTTTAACATCATTTGTATAATACGTATTAACTAAGTAATGCAATATTGTTTCTTTTACTACAGTTAAATCTTTAACGATGATCTTACCCTTCAAATTGACTTACATATTGTTATTTGTTGGAGTAAATAAGAAACCCGATGGTAAGTGTACGCTATCATATCATATTAAGCAGAATAACTGTATGGAAATTTCGCTGAATTTACTTTTTTTCTTCCTGATTTTATCGTTAAAACGGTCTAAAATTTATGTTACAAAATATTTTTTGGTAATTATTGGAATTTCACTTTTCTATTTAATTATATGTTGTAAATATTTACAATGTTTTCCAGAAAAACTACTTCATTCGCTTTTTCAAAATGGATATTTCATGCAGATATTTCATGAAATGTATAGTCCATTCGTTCCTACTTCTTTGACATTTTTCTACAGAAACGAAATCAAACTTTTAACAGTTACTGAACATTCGTGGAATTCTGTTTCAGTATTTCCTGTTCATATTGAAGTTGTAAGTATTACTATTTTCAAAATGTTTTACGTGAACATAAAAAGTTTGTGAATTTGGCATCCCAATTGCGTTCATTTCAAAGTATGTCATGTCATTTGTTTGCCCATCCTTGTAAAACAATTTTTTACCGATCGAAATGTTGGGCAGTTTTACATAATAGCATCAAAAATTGCATTTTTCCCTAAAACTGCTACTGTCATTTGTACGCTTACATTAGAAGAGAAAAACATGTAAAAGTTCGCAATAACTTTAAGTGAGTAAAGTACAGGCTGTCATTTGTGACCATCTATTTTTTCTTTTAGCTTATGTTAAATCATCAGCGTTAGGAAAGAGACAGGGTCGAACTCGGAAGTATAGCCCGTGGTAAGAAGGAAGTGGAGATAGGGTAGAAGAAGTTGAGAGTATGGAGGGGCTGAAGGAGGGGTGAGTGTGATAGGATAGTGGGAAGTGAGGGAAGGTGGGTTATCGGACCCACTGGCGCCTTCCATAGCCTATATTTAAAAGAAAATTAATACAGTTTGGACAATAAACAAAACAGAATGAGCCGGATGGGTATACCACAAATGAATAGGCACGACAATGTAAACATGTATAACAGATTACAAGCAAAGCTATAAAACGAATTAACTTCAGTTAGCAGGAGTACATTAACAAAGGAAACAGATGAAGCTGTTTGATGTAAAACATAAAACTGCGGAACATATAAAACAGCTTATCCAATTTATTACAGAATGAACCATTAAAACAATATACTCTAGGTTACACGGTTGACACATACAGAGAGAGGAGACGATGAACTTCTAGATAATCAGTTGAGAGTGATCATAGATTGCAGAGTGGGACTAGTCGAGCTTCCTGATACCTGTAGCAAATCTTTTTATCGCTGAAAAGTTTTTCTTGTCAGAAATCAAGTCCTTAAGCATGCAGGGCCAGTGGAAGCCGTTGTCCTTGATGGTACGAATTAACTCCTTGCGTTGCCTAGAGTAGTATGGGCAGAAGAAGATTATGTGCTCAGGATCTTCCTCCTCCTTCAAACCGCAGTCACAGAGCCCGTCCGTTTTATTGAGAAACCTTTTTAGGTACGTGTTCAGGTTTCCGTGACCAGTTAGGAGCTGTGTCAACTGAAATGTGGGATATCTTGGATGAAGCATGCTGTCAGTGGGGCAAGGAAAAAAGCAGTGGGTAAGCCTCCAAGTAGAACCATTGTCCCACCTGACCTGCCAAGTCTTTAGAATGATGTTGTGGATAAGATTGTTCAGATGCTTACTACTTATCTTGTTGTAGGTGCAGCTATTAAATTTTGCGGATGCACAACGAGCGAGATCAGCCCTATCATTTCCTGCACTCCCTGAATGACCTTTAATCCAGTGAAAGTAGACGTTAATGTTTCCTTTCTTCAGGGCTTGAAGATTGCCAAGACATTTCTTCACAATGGGTAGAGTGGTGTTTATTTTGGCGATCTGTTGAAGCGCAATGCTACTGTCAGTATAGATTCTGAAGTTGTGGTTAGTGCGGTTATGATTCGTGTTGGAGATCCAATCGATGGCATTACTGATGGCCAAAGACTCCGCTTGATTAATGGTGCAATGCGGAGCCAACTTCCTGTACATCTGATAAAGACAGACTTTGCCTTTGTAAGCCACAAAGGCACTCCTAACACCTTGGTCTGTTTTGGATCTGTCGGTGAAGATACAAATGTCCTGATCGTCACTGTTGCCTGTCTCGAGGGATACAGAAGGAGTAAAGCTTGGGTGAATACGATTAGGTGAACATTTATCAAAGCCATTTGTGGCAATAGTGGCCGCTAGAGAAATTAGATCCTGTGTGAACTCTTCCTTACCAACAATGGCATTGAAATGGTCTTGGTTGATTTGGTTGTTAGCCAATTTAATTAAGTTGAATCTGATGAGGATCTCTCTAATTTTGATGTCTATGGGAAGAGTTCAGTTGATTACCAGTAAGGCCTCAGTAGGGGCAGTCTTGTATGCTTTAGCGATGTTAATGGCCATTATTCTTTGAATCGAGAGTAATTTTCTTTTGATATGGACCCTTGTCACTGATGTACCCCAAATTTCCGCCCAATATGTCACAATAGGTTCAATTANGTTTTAACTTCTACTCCTAATATGAAGGCAATTAAATCAAAAAATGAGTCCAAAGCTCCGCCAGAAAAAAGGAGACGAAACATTACTAAAAAGTTACTTGAAGAAGAAAATTTTTCTGATAACTCTCATGATGAAGAAGACTGTCCATGCATATATTGCGATTATCTTTTTTCCCGATCTAAGCTTGGAGAAGACTGGTTACGGTGCTTACATTGTTTCCTTTGGGCTCACGCTTCTTGCACTGACGTTTCTAAAAGAGCCAAGCGTTTCATTTGTAAACTTTGTCAGTAATTTTATAGTTTTTACGTGTATGTCATTTTGTCCACAGTATATGTCATTTTGTCCGTAGTGGATGATCTCGATTAAACTAACATTATTTTTCTCCTATTGTTTTAATATTGTAAATGTTTAGTGTATTTCATAGGTAAAAAACCAAAGATGATTGGTGTAGAATATGACAGTGCTGTGATTTACCAATAAAGAGTTATGAACCTAAAATAAAACCGTATGTCATTTTTCTGTATTTAACCTAGTAAAGGCTCTATGACTTCATAAAAAATGTACTTTTCCTTTGTTTAAAGGTATTTGTGCAGTTTATTCTCTGTTGTATTCTCAAGTAAACAATACATACAAGTAAAGTACAGTATTTTCTGAAGAAACACTCGTACTTATTTTTGTACCCGATTCCCGATAATCCGGCATTTTCACAAACTCGGCCACCCTTCGGTCCACATTGGGCCGAGTTTTCGAGACTCTACTGTAGTTCTTTCTCTTCGTTAGAGGAAACATTTTTCTAAAAATACAAATATCTAAAAAATGCTTGGAATGGATAACTCAAGTGAAAAATTTTTCTAAAGCGAATTATTACTGACTAAATTACATATGTTTTCAATAGAAAGCTACTGGAATATTTAGAATTTCTTAGAATTAAACTATCAATAGAAGGCGCTTCGTTAAGTTGTATGTGTGAGATTACTTTGCATTTATAATATTAATTTTTCTTTATGTTTACTAACAAATTGATTAATAATGTTTGTCACTGTCTGAAAATGAGCCATCTGCTACTAATTGTATTGTGTCAAACATTAATGAAATAAGAACTATTAATATTAAAGCAATTATTATAATATACATATTTACCTGACCATTAAACAAACAACACCTGTTTCTCTTAAATTCAAACATAATAAATGTCAATCTGTGTTACTTGAAATACTTTATATTTTTGGACTAAAAACACTGAAACGTCGAGAAATTAAAAAAACAACTTGCAATTTCTTGTCTGTATGTATAAATGTCAGTTTGTGCGTGTGTGTGTGGGAGGAGAACACGACATTTTCTGCCTGAAATTTGACAGAGAAATTTGGTTATCAAGAGTATCGACTATACTATATGTCCCTGGTTAAGAGTCTATGAGGTCTGGAGAGATAAAGCGATTCAAATTTTCTGCAAGTGTAAAGCTTGCCTAAAGGAAAATCAATGATTCAAGCTTAATTTTGAGAGTAGAAATGGAATTTACAAAAAAAATTATAAATGCTAATAACGCGTAATATCGTTATTAAGTCCAACCTTACTCGATATTTGTAATACGATTCTCTTCATCTCCTTACCCCATCGATTTTTAACTATGAAAATTTTATTCTGTTAATCTTTTTAATAAACAAACCTCTCTGTCAACTTTCAGAAATTTTTACAAAAAAACACAAAAGCTATCAGCTTCAAAGAGATTGAAAAAAATCGTGTTTCCCCCCGCGCATACACAAACTATCATTTATACATATGGAGAAAAACCCAAAAATCCTTTACATTTCTCGATGCTTCAAAGTGTTTTGAGTCCAAAAAATGTAAAATTCTGGATATCATTTATTGCCGTATCGCAATACTTACTGTCTGTTATAACAACTGCGAAAGTATAAATACTTAATATTACTTAAGAGTACGAATTTGACCTCAGCTCTAGTAGAACAAAAAAGACTTTAATATCTACGTCAATTCATCTGGAATTAATAATATACTGTTGCCAAATATACGTATTACATATCATATAATTTTCATTACTTTGAATTTCTATTAAGAAGACCATTAAGAAGTCCGATAATTTTCAATGTTATTCGAAAAAAAAAAATTTAGTAACGTTAGGATTTGGACACGGTTAGAGCCTGCAACTAAAAGTTTTCGAGTTTTTCCCGAAAATAAGGTACTTCAAGGGGAAAAAATTGTTTTCAAGTTGTTTTCTGTTGTAATTTCGAGAGAACTGCGGAACAGAAGTAGACATTTCTGTACGCAATGATGAGTACAGAATCTATGGTTGTGATCGGAATATCGTCATCAACCTGAGCCAGGCTTGAATTACTCATGGCACCCTTATTCAGGTGTTACAAAACGTAAAGAACATCCGAAAAACTAGACGTGTCCGGTTAGTTGGAGAAGTGTGAACCCACGACCAATTAAGTGTTCAGTAGTTTTTTCCAATAAACGACTGACGCACCTCTGTTACATTACATATTGATAATAATTGTGATATTTGAATTTATTTTTCTATAAACAAATATTCGCGATCTCAAATAATAAAATACTGATTTTTTTTTTAGTATTCGCGGATAGTGTTCGTTCTTCTATAATGAAAATTACACTTAAGGATGTATGCGAAGTACGAATTTACAGAGATTGTTTACAAACATTTGAAATATTTTATTACTTATTATTATTTATTGTGTCTGAGTTTCATGTAGGCCTACCTGTTTCAAAAGTCCATTTTCCTGAATTTTTCAAAAAATCTGGAAAACTAGATACCTTTTTAACTTTGCGAGTCCCACAAAATGAAATGTGTAAATTTTTTATCGTATGGCTACATTTTAACAAAAAAAATGCTGAAATCTTGCAAACACAGCATGAGTAATGTTGTGCTGTAAATGTAAACGAATTGTGAGAGTGCTGTACTACCAAGCATCACATGCAAATAGTACAATTTATCAAACTAGCAACGTACAATGAATGAATATTTACGACAATAATACTTTTTACATTTACACTTTCTTAATGTCTACACCAGTTTCAGTTATACTTAAATAGCCAATGGGTTTTTTTTAATACAAATTTTTGTGCTCTGTCATTGTAGCTACAGACACACGTAAATATTTTAATACTACCAATTTTGTAATAAATAAATTTTCCATACATTACATGTCGTGATAATTTAATTATCCCGATGCACGCCTTTATTTAGCAATACCATAAGGATTTTTTTTTAAGATAATAAAGCTTTACAAATTGAACATCGTATCAATAATTGTAAAAGTTTCGGTAGTCCACGCATAAAATATATCGCAAAAAATAAAAAGAAAATTGTAGAAATCACTTGAGAAAAAACTAGCTGCTAAATGTTAATTAAACAGAACATTTTTTCAAGCAAAATAAAATAATAATATCAATATTTGACCGGTTCTAACGGAGAATATAACATTTGTTTCGAATCATAAAAAATTAGCAGTTTATAGACATTTACTGGGAGAATGGGGCCAAGTCTAGTCAGTCACTACTGTAACCGTTGTTAATTAACCTTCAGTCATTTGCAACATAGCGTGTTACTTTTAAATTTCAGAAAAAAAAATGTGAATTGGTGTAACTTTAGATAATTTATACGATATTAAAATTTGATATCGTTATTATTTTGTTTATAGATCAAATTACATTAATAAAAAAATGCATTTTCGTCATTCCACGTGTATATTTTAGATAGTATAAAAAGTTATAAAATGATGATATAGTCATAGTTTTTGATTCGATACGAATAATTTGACATCTTAGCGAAACACCGTGGCTGCTCTGAGGCGCCACAAGACTCATGTCGTACCTTTAATCCACGTGACTAAAAAAAGATTTTAAAAATATTAATTCTAAAACATATGAATAGAAAAATTGATATTATCATGTAACTACTAATGAACTTCGCTATTATTTTAATTGCGAATGACATGAATCAGATATCCAATTAAAAACATAAATTGAAAGTACTCATAAATTTTCATTTTTTAATGAGCTGTAACATATAATTAGTTGATCTGTATTTTTCCACTTTAAGTAGCGTTTATTTCTGCTCTGATTCATGATAGAAGTTACAAGATTTCAGGTCTGTAAACAATTCTTCTATATTTAATACCAAACATTGAAATAATTTGTAAATATAAAATTATTTTTTATAATTGTTTATATTAGATTGTGTAACAAACGTGCAATTATTTATTGTAGCATTGCCATAAAAATATTCTTAATTAATTTAATTTAAAAAATGTTCTCCGTCTCAATTCAACAGTGTCTTGTTCTTAAACATTATACTTTTTTCATAGTAGTAGTGGTTTGAGTAGCACAGATTACAAAATTAATTTCAGATGTCGGTTAAATTAAAATTACAAATAATTTTTTAAATTGCAAATAAAAATTTGTTAAATGGAATTATTTCAAATCACAAAATAAAATTTTCAGTTAATTTTGAATTTTTTAAATAA